AACGTTGTTCTTTCCATACGCTCTTTCAGTTATATAACAGTTATATGTTGGTTTGCTGGGTAATAAAGAAGTTTTATGTTGGCACCCTGAAAGTTAACCGACCGATTAGATTAACTCGCGTTGGTGAAACCGGGCCTAGGCCTTGCATTTGCGCATAAACGCCTTCATCGACACATTTGCAATGCAAATGCAGATTCGATGTTTCTATTTTCATTGCAAGAAAGTAGCTGCAAAGTAACGATTCGTTACTTTTTGAGTAACGCGTTACTTTTTCAGACTTGTAACTTGTAACTGTAACTAAATACTTTTATAAGGTAACTTTCCCCAGCCCTGAATAGCAGCTGCTTTCAACGCCCGAATTCAATCGCAAATCTCTTTTCGCAACGATTGCACGATCTAACAATCAATTTTCCACTAAACAGATTTCGCTCCAAGGGCAGTAAATTCATGGTGGAATTAACCGACGCGACGGTGCCCTATCAATTTAACAGAAACCCCGCTATCCCATATTAGGATCCTATCTCATAATAGGGGACTACTCATGGCCGCACGGCGTCGACGCGCGCGCGCGCGCGCGTCTGCAGAAATAGAATAGCACGTGGAATATAAAATCTATTACACTGTTATTCACATAGCTGCGCCGCGCTGTATTACTTCGCGGAAGGCCAAAGTGGCAGTTACATTTGCGTGATTATCAGAAATTGTTTTTGTCTCGATACGCGCGCTATCGCGGTACCATCGAAGCCGCGCGCGACGTAAACTCGAGCGTCGGGAATCCGCGAGCTCGGATCTCTCGTCAATCGTGGGAAACGCGTCGTAGAGCTCGCAGACGGAAACGAGCCGCGAGAGGCGAAACTGGCCGCCGCTATCGTCATTATCGTCATTATCGTCATTGACCTGTGTTAAAATGCGTAAAAATACCGCGTTTTTTTCGCAAACGGCATATTTTTAACCCTTCATTTTTAAATGTTACACGGCCGTGCGCGCACGGCGCGGTTTCACGGCGACGGCCTCCGTTAATCTCGAACCTTGCTCTTTATCCTGAAACAATAGAGACACGTATGACGCGTGGACGCGTGACGTAATTTTGTATACGTATGTTTACCCAAGTCTTTCGTCACACGTGCGCGAGATTATCGATCTACCATCGATGCCTCGTTGAAGTTGAAGGCAAACTCGTCCGATTTGTTACATTCTCGGATTTTCCCGGGGGGTCAATTCTGTATCCTACGCTACAGCGAAGATGCCGAAAGCGAACTGCATTGTCTCCTCCTCACCGTCCCCTCAGATAGAGAGAGAGAGAGAGAGAGACAAAGCCGCTCACTTTCAGCATTTTCACTATGGTGCGAGATACAGAATTGACACCCGGGAAAATCCGAGAAAGTAACAAATTAGACTTGCAACTGGACCAAGTTTCCCTTCAACTTTTTCCCACCGATACCCGTGGCCAGGCTTTGTTCTCGGCGAGAACGCACAGATAACGAACATTCCGACGGAGACAAGGGAGTGGAAAGGCGACGAGATAGCCGCCCGTTTGCATTTCACGTTTTGACTCTCCTCCAAAGAGTCTTGTTTCCGAAAAAGTGATTCATTCGCTCGCTCACTATTCCCCCCCTCCCCCGCCCCGCCCCTCGTGACTAAATTTACCGAGGGGGTCGGACCGGTCGGACGAGTCACGGTGCGGGCGGCGGCGGCGGCGCGGCTCTAAATTTGACAATCATTCCGTGCGACACAGCTGTTGCGTCGACGCTGCGCACGGCGATCAGCTGTTGCGAGGTGCGCGCGCGCGCACGCGCCGCCTGGGGACTTTGGCGGGAGCGCGGGCGCGCGTGCGCGCGCCGCCCTGCGGCGCGCGACAATTCGAAGCCGCGGTGCGAGAAGAGGACTCGGTCGGCGCCGGAAGCGTCGCGCCCGGGGACGAGGACGAGGGCGCCGCGACGTCGGCGTCCCATTGAAGAGGCGAGGATCCCTCCGACTCCCGGTCGCGCTGCCGCGACGCTCTCGTTACGCAGCGAGCCTCGCTTCCGGAGCCGCTGTGGGAAGCGAAGCTCGGGCGGCGGTGGCGCGCGAGCGAGGGCGAAGCGAGGGAGAGAAAAGAAGCACACAGAGAGAGAGAGATACGTAGAGCGAGCGGAGTGGACGTCACGCCGTATCCTACGAGAATTTTCTCTCACGTGGGCCGAGCGCCCGCTCGTGTGTCAAGCGTTGGTCGGGTCGGCTGCGGAGGCGAGAGACGAGCGGCGGGAGGAGGGAAGCGGTGCTCGCGCAAGGCGCGAGAAGGACGGCGACGGGCGCGAGCGAGAGGGAGCGAGCGAGTGAGCGCGAGCGAGCGGCTGACTGACTGTCGGAGACGGCAGTGCAGAACGGGCCTTTATCCGTGCCTCGTCGTCGAGCTGTCCGTATCATGCGCCGCTGAAGTGAATTGTCAAGTGAAATCACAGCAATGGCTGCCAACGAGCAACAGCGTAAGGTGAGCGCGTGCGAGCGCGCCTTCGCGCGAACGTCGCCGGGTTTTCCTACGCCCCGGCGGAGACGGCGCGCCGTCGATCCCGCGGGACGGTACGTGCGCGAGCGCGGCGCGTCGCTTTTGTGTCAAAAGTCGACGGGGGCTCGGGTCGCCCTCTCTTTCTTTCTCTCCGCCGTGTGCGGGGCGACATCGACGTCGTCGTCGTCGTTTTGCGCGATATATCGACGGACGTGCGGCGCGAGGCGGCGGCGGTGGCGGACGAAGACGAGAACGGAAGCGACGTTCGTGCCGTGACTCGTCACATCACGGCGAAGTGCGAACGAGGCTCCCCGAGGGATAACGTTCCCCCGCGCGCGCGCCGCATTCCCGGATAATCGCACGTCTTTCATTCAAAGATCGCGCAGTCGGCCGCGCCGTATTTACATCGGCCAGCCGAGCAGCTGTCAAGTGCCGCGACGAAACGGTGTCGCTGATCGCGTCGCATGATGCGCGAGGAGGGCCGCGACGGCGACGACGTGAGTGCGGGGCGGGGGGAGGGGTGGTCGTTTCTCTCCGGATAGCCCCCCCTGAAAACGCGATCGGCCGAGGTGTCGCGCTGCGTTACTTGTTTTCTTATCCGCGCGGGGCGAACGGGGATGCCCCCGCGGATCTCTCGCTGCTGACGGTGCAATCGAGGAGCGCAGTGCGGCGCAGCCACGATAGAGCCGTTCGCTCGGCTCGACGCGTGACAGCTCGGGCGCTGCTCGAATTCCCGTCGAACGGGTTCCGTCTCCTTCCTTCCTTCTTTTCGCCCCGCGGAAATTCCTCGCGGACGCTCGCGCGAGAAAGAGGGCCGGGGACGCGAGCCCTCGCGGTTACGTCCGGCGCGAGTACAACATATGCGACAGCTCGCGCCGAAGGGACCGCTGCGGGATCGACGAGCCGCGGCGTCGATATCGAGAAGGAGCGAGAGCGAGAGAGAGAGATCGCGAACCCTCGTCGCGATTCACTTTCCGTCCGCCGCGCGCGGAAGTCCCGTTCGGCCGTCGCGAGTCCCGTCTACTTCGCTCCCGTTCCTTTGCAGTCTCGCGGCCGCGGGTCGGATCGATCGCGAGCGTTAATTGCCGTACGCCGCATCATCGTCGTCGTCGTCGTCGGCGTGCGGTCATCGAAACGTCGTGTGTCATCGCGGATAAACGACGAACGGGGCGCGCGCGCGCGCCGCGCGACTCGCCCGGGATGGAAGGAGCGCTCGCGAGGCGAGAATTTTCATTCGCCCGATCCCCCTCGATCGTCTGCCTCCGTTCGCACGGCCGCGCGCGGCTCTCCCGTTACCCGTTGAGACATATGTTGCAATGTTGTGCACACACGATTCCATTTTGTGTGTGCGGCGGGACTGGCTTTTCCCTGCGCTCCGCTCCGCTCCGCGCGCCGGAACTTTCTCGGTTTATTTTTCGATTTCGCCGATCTGGTTCCCCGGGATTCCCCCCCGTACGCCCTTTCCCTTTCTTCCTCCTCCCCCCCCCGTCCCTCCCCCGCCGCCGCCCGAGCCGGAATCGGCCGGATGGTGGATCAATGTCGAAGCGCAAAAGTCTAAGCCAGGCGGATGCCAGGCGACCCGAGATTACTGACAGGCTGTGTCACTTTAAGGCCGTGTCGCTTTAAGGCTTCACCAACACAGCAACATGGCTACTTATGGCTGTGATGCAAAACTTGATGATACACATCGCAGACGTTTCCTAATGCCGTGGGGGGGGAGGTGGGAACGGCGCATTTTTGTTGTTTACACGGACTTGTCGAACGTGTTGCCCCCTGGAATTATCCTAGCGAATAATGTGTTCGGGGATATCGGCAGCCACTGCTCGGCAATAATTTAGAACGCGCTCAAGATGACGTAGTTGTTTCCACTGCAACTGTGGAGACGACGGAGACGAGTCAGGATTCGCCCTCGCGAAGACCCGCCTTCTGTTTCGCGAGAATTCTCACTGAAAACCAGCCACGTTTATCTTCTCGGCGATTCTTTCAGTTGCGATTAATAATTATGTAATTAATTATGTAAGAAGACAAATGGTTTATGTCAAAAAGCCGTTGTAAAATGCGCACAATCTGTTGTCGCATCGTGGCAGATATTTTTCGTGTATTCTAGCGCTCGGACACAATTTGGACACGTTGATAAAACTCATTTAAATGAAACAACGACACGAATTGTTGTATTATTGTATGTTCTTTGTCATACATTTTTATTAATGCACGTATATGTATATGAATAGGAATCGCGTGAAAGCAGGGAACCAGCCCATCATGCAAGACGGCCCATGAATGCGTTTCTGATTTTTTGCAAGCGGCATCGTGGCTCGGTGCGATCTGGCTTTCCAAACTTGGAAAATAGGGCAGTCACCAGGGTCCTGGGTGAATGGTGGGCAACCCTTCATCCTGATCAGAAACGTTCCTACACAAATCTCGCGCAGGAAGTAAGGACGGTCGCATAAAGCATTAATAAACCGGTTACTTGGAAGAATAAAGTTGTGCCGTCTCAAGAGTAAAATTATTTTATCCGATCGCCGTTAGATCTATACATATTATATATAGAACATTATATAAAGAAAGGCGCGGATAACCGTACGGTAAAATTTTTTTTCCTGCAGTACAAGGATGCATTTCTGAACGCAAATCCTGACTTCAAGTGGTACAAATTGCCAGCACCCCCGCTACGTACTTTAAATACTAGGCCTACCAACAAGAAGCAAGAGTCGAGTAGCGGTGTGCAGTCCACAGATAGTGTCAAATCTGAATACGAGTCTTCCGATTGTACAAAATCAGACAGACGGGACGGACAATCAATTCAGCCAGGCAAATTGGCAGACGAGTCGCAGATTGGTGGGCTCAGTTCTCTCTTCACTCCTCAGAAGTCGGAGGCGAGCGAGGAACAGCCCGTCAATGGTATTGCAGAAAGTGATTCCGTGCCACCGAAACCACCCAAAAAGAGGTATACGGAGTCACCTTTCCAGAGTGATCAGAAGAGGGACTGCAAGTCGGATCTCTTTGGCGAAAAGAAAAGGAAGAGAGCCGAGTCCAATAACAATGAACAGCACGAAACGGTAAGAATTGGGCTGTTCGCAAAAATACAAGTTTAATTTCAGTACTTAAATGATATCTTATTTGTGTGTTAATGTCTACGTAATCAATTAAAAATTCATGATAGATCATAGAAGACGAGAAACACACGATAAATTCTTTCGTGACAACGCATACGCAACCAGAAGAGAATAATTTCCGTAGTGAAAGGACATGTAAAGGTTTACGTTATCAGAAATTCCTCGCTGAGCAGAATATCGGACCTTCGAACCAACAAAGCAAACGAAGGCGAGCAGTTGGGAGTCACGGGTGAGTAATTAGATTTTTATCTTGCAGTATTGTGAAATGTCTATTTTCGTCATGTATAATGTTAAGAAATACATCTTTCATTGCTCTAGACACGACGAACGTCCGAATGAAAGAAGAAATTCTATCTCCTCGAATGTTAGTGAAAAAACAGATTCCTTAAGTAGCGAGGGAGGAAACAGTTCTCGTGGAGATTTAGAGCATCTTGTAGAGAGGTAACGTGTTTATTCATCACTTAAGGGCTTTGTTAGAGCAAGTACTAATGTTTTATACGTAAAAATAATTGGAAATTATATTCAGTGCTGAAGGCAAAATGGAAGCTTCCAAACCTGAAGATACAGAAACTGAAGGTGCCGAAGATCAAGTGGATTATGGACCTTGGACAGCACGTAAAAGATTTCGAGCAGAGTACGTTCTTTGAAATTATTCCTAGATAAACAATATATATCTTTTATCTTAGTATATTTTATATTTATGCTAGATCATATACTATATTTGATGTATTATAAATAATATATTAATTGGTATACTATAAATATTCTTGTAGAGATTTTAATCTGGAAAAGAAAATCGAGGCATTGCCGTCTTTAAGTTTAGAGGAATTTCAAGAAAAGAAGAAACAGCAACGTACGAAAAAAAAGAAAATTTTGCAAAAATTCAATTCTTCGACTAACAAAAAACAAAATTCGTCTTCTGGTAGTCAGGCTCAAAGAGTTAATACGATAAGTGAGAGTTACGAGGAGTCGGAGAAAGCCCATCTTGTTGGAAGCCAGAAACGGAAAGCACGAAAGCAAAGTATCACGCGGAACGCTGCGGCAATAAATTCCACCAAACATTCTGAGGATCAAGGACAAAATAAACGTAAGTTATAAGCAATTTTTCTTAATAATTTAATTGAAAGCAGCTTGTATAAGTACATTTTCTTTTTCTGTATAATTGTAGAGATACTGCAAGTAAAAGTCTTATGCAATTTGTTTTTTTATATAATTCATATAACTGTTTTTACTTAAAAACATTGTATGTTAATGATTAAAACATTCTGATGCTCTTATTAAATATTTTAATTTGTGTACACGATATAAGCTTTAATTAATATTTTGCACATTGATAGCTTGGTCTCCAGATCTTGAAGCTCTAGCGTGTCTTGCAACGGTTGCCGCCAATAGAACAAAACTTACCAAAAATAACGCTTAATTGTGTAAGATCGCACCATAAAAACCAAAACTTTATTAAGTTTTCTCCGATTTCCTATCACCGGGATTATTAAAACATACTTTTTCAAGTGCTGTTATAAACGATGCTGTTACAGTGTCAATAACATAATGATTATTGTTAATATCTTTATTGTTAATCTTTACTATTACAAATAGGAATATTATGCCTGCTATTGACTATAGATTCCATTATTCAGTATGAGGGACGTGTTTTATTTTTATCTGGAATAACAGTTTTCATCGAAAAGATAGGAAGGTAAAGGACTTCTTTTTTACGGTTTATATTGTGAAAAGTCATTTTCTAATGGTTTGGAGTAGATACGTTACTTTATTTATGTTTCTTGTAATTGTACATAAAATAATTAAGTTGTAGCATAACTGGTTAGTTTAATGCAAATAGTAATAATTTTATCATGTGTTACTAAGTTCGATAATTATGATAGTATGTTCTTAATTATCCATACTTTCATCTATTCCTCGTTAAAATTTTCATTTCTATGAACCCTAACAATGCCAACGGTAAATCTGACTAGATAACGCGGAGCTGTGACGTCTATGACTATACGAAGATGGATTGAATTAAATATGTAGAACGGTATATAAACGCAAGGATTTGTACATTCTATTTTTTCATGGGAGATTTGTATGTATCTTATTTTCTTAACTTGTTGCTTTTCTCTTATACAAAGTCGCATTGACACAAACGAATTGGTATGATCGAGGCAATTCCATTAGGCGCAATGTATAACTCTCGGGAAGAATTTATTCTCATTATTTCCGATAACGTATAAGAGCGAAAATATATTTTTACTTACCTTTTATTTTATTATGTTCCATCAGCATTCGATGTACATAGGTATAGGTGCAGTATTATATACAGATACGAGATGTGGAATATCCTTTACGATATGACTTGAACATCAAACAAAAAGAAGGGTATAATCAAAATATGGATATATGTGCGACCACAATTTATATGTTATACATGCATACACGCTAATAGACGCGCGCTTACATGTGTAAGTTTAAATGTTTATAGATTTTCAGATGTATACACGAGTGCATGTTAGATGACTCTGTCTCTGTGTACCGAAATACGCGTATATTCGTGTATGCATGTAATAGAGTGATAAGACTACCTGCATATGTGAATGTATATTTATAATATTTATATCAACTGCATATATATATATATAATTTATATATATACATGCGTATTTAGCGTTAAGACCGGAGAATGCGACTTTGTGCTCTGTTTGAGAAAGTAAGAGACTTGTCTGTGATTTCGGCTAAAAAGGAGTTTTTAATATTTTATATTTTTCTAATGATTTTTTTCTCTCTTTTTTTCCCTTTTCTCATATTTTCACTTTCTCTCTGTAACGTGTATAAAACTCTCTATTTTTCTCTTTTTTCTATACGTGTGTATATAAAACTATAACTTTAATAACGATTTAACTTTATGAGCTCTGTGAAATGATAGGAAGAATGTAGCGTTACGCAACCTTACGTAACGTTGATAGGTTTCTCCGTAGTTTGCAAAAAATGTACTGATTATATTTCAAATGTGCCTTGACGAGATATGAATATAGTGATTAAACAACCGACCAACAATATATTTTCGATTCGTTTCGCTCTTCTGACCGCATTTTGGCTTTTACATTTGTACCTATCAGCAGTATGAGACTGTCTTGCTGCAGGACTTTACAATCGGGCTTAGTTGCCAATGTATAAAGATCGGGCGAATTTAACGAAATCAGGGGAGAATGTTTCGAATTTTACTGCACAAAACATCTATGTACCTAGCTTTAAAAGAATGTATAATTTACATGAATCTATATACGTGTACATATTATATACCACATTTATATATGAATAATAAAGATATAATATTTTGATGTAATTTATAATTGTTTACTGTGTCGTTGACGGTATGATTATTTTATTTATTGTCAGATAAAGATATGAAATGTTGTTTTGACAGAATACTAACATACATAATTTTTTTATATTTTACGTACAATGTATTCATATGTAATTTTATTACAAAGGTGAACATACGCAGTCATACGTGATGTATCGAGCATTTATCAATTACATATACTTGATAATTATTTACTTCCGATTTTATAATACAATCTCTTTCGCAGTTTCACGGTTCATTTATATATGTATAATTGCTCGCACACGCACTATATAATTTCTTATATTCTACGTACAATTTATTCATATAGTTTTATTACAGAGATGAACATACGCAGTCATATCAAGCATTTATCAATTATATATACTTGATAATAATTTACTTCCGATTTTATAATATAAAAGAATCTTGCAGTTTCACAGATACCCACTGAAGAAGTTTGTACGTTCCCGCGCGCTCGAAAGTTGGGTACTTCCAGCTCGAATCTAGGTATTTTGCGCGTCCCCAGAATTCACGCCAACAATCTCGCGCGTGGGAAGTTTCGTCTCTACGTGTTTCCGATGGGCCGCGGCGCATCATAAAAACAACCCTCCCACTCCGCCTTCGACTGTTGGTATACATTTGGCAGGCAACACGTCTCACGTACACAAGCAGAGAAAGCGTGTGAGAGAGAGAGAGAGAGAGGGAGGCAGAGCAGAAAGAGAGTATGGAACAGCATTGACAGTTGTGTGACTTTCGTTTTCTGCGACGTGTCGACTCGCCAGATAAATAAACGCCGCCGGATCCGCGGATCGATCGCAGACAGCTGCCTCACTCGAGATGGGAGTGATATTTCTCGAGCACATCGGTGGCAGCCGTCTGTTCTCCTGCGCCTCCTGCGACACCAATCTCACCAACAGGTCACAGCTCGTGAGCACACGCTTCACGGGTGCCACTGGACGCGCTTTTCTCTTCAACAAAGTCGTCAATCTGAATTATAGGTGCGCCCTTCTGCTTCTCGCGCAGCCTCGTCCTGGACGAGGCTCTCGACGGCCGAACTTGCCCGGAACAGTTTGCACTTGACGTCGAGCTTGCGGACCCTACCGAGATTTATTCAATCGCATCCCCCGGCTTTGCTCCTTTGTCCCGTCTCTGTGCTGTAAAGCTGCGTACGGAAGCGTCACTCGGGTGGCCCAGCGTATCATCTTATCCCTGTTTACCTTTCGACGAGCAACGAAGATAAATTGATACACTCGGGCACTCCGGGTGATGTTTTCGAACGCAGTGTAGACCTGGGGCTACGATTCTTGAAGCCATTGGAAGAATATTCTGACCTGGCTCTTTAAGTTGCCAGTAATAGATAGAGATAATTAAGCTTTTGCCACTGAGGCACGTTTGCCCCATGTGCCTGCCACATGCCTCAGTGGTCGAATCGGCGAGACGCCCGCCTAGAGAGAAGGAAAGTCCAGGTTCGAACCCTGGCCGAGGTAATATTTTTTGCAACAAAATTTTCCATGTTGAAACACTGAGCGGTTAATGTCGGCTAGACGAGCTTGATTAAAAGTATTCTGCTCTTACAGGAAAGTTGCAAGTTGGCTGGCTATTCGCGCGGCTCTTAACCAATCGACCTTCAACTTGTCTGTGACGGTAGAATTTTCGTGTACGTTTCTCTATCGAATGAATTGAAGAATCGAGCCCCCTGGTCTACAATAAGTTGAGTCAGAAGTCGGAACTATCGACGTACAGTTCCGATGTCTAACAACTCTTTGTAGACCGAACCGTGCAGTCGAGTCGTCTATTAGAAAATGTAAAGTCCGAGTAACGTATACACGACGATAGTTGAAACGATGTAAATGTCAAATTTACTCACACGACACTTGTGTGTGTGTCTCTTCGTCACTTAACTCTGTGATGTGATGTGCAGCGAGGTGCAAGACAGAGTGATGCTGACGGGTCGCCACATGGTACGAGACGTCAGCTGCAAGAACTGTGATGCTAAGCTGGGGTGGGTGTATGAGTTTGCGACGGACGAGCAACAGCGGTACAAGGAGGGCCGCGTTATCCTGGAACGGGCTCTCGTCACGGAGAGCGACGGACTGACGGAGCACAATGTTCAACAATAATATTTAATATTTAATACCAAGTAGCGTTTAATATGTTAAGAGAATATCTGACATAGGATCTTGTAAGTTATTCATTTCCGATCTTGTCAGTTACGAGAGACACTCGGTTAGTGCCCGATTTTTTTATTGAGCAAGTATTGACGACGCTAATTCACACGTGATTAGCGACAACGTTCAACATTTTTCGTGAATACCGTGCGGTTCCTACTTTGTTAAATTTTGTAAAAAGAAATGTCTCGGATTCCACCCACGTTTACATCGTCCACTCCTGCTTCAGCCTGCATCTCGCTTCAGGGCTTATTCACGACGAGTGTTGAAGTTACATTAAGTAACACATCATTGGTATTTTCTTTGTAGATGGGAGCATTAATAAATTGACCTCGGTGGCAAATGTGTTTGTTAAGAAAATTAAGAAAACGCCAAGTATACGCGAATTCGGAAGCGTGTATCGACGAGTGCAATATAGATGTGAAGCTCGGACAGTACGAATTACTTTATTTATACCCTTTTGACAAATTTGACACGAGCAACAATACGGAGTCGCGCGCAATTGACACCAGATGCGATTGAGATACTTGATTTTTTTTCTCGCAAAGATACCAAGGTAAATCTTTAAGAAGCACTGAACTGTTTTTCAATTATAGATGCGTTATAGCTACAGGTACAAACTGAGAAGACAAGAGGAATCTCGAAATGTAATGGAAGTCACCTTTTGGGATGACCGTTTTGGGACCTTGGGAACAAAGGTCGCGTATAGTGTAAACATAAAGGGAGGGCAAGGTCGCTTAGGTTTGGTGATGAATGTGGGACCTCGACACGAATAATATTACAAAAGTTTACTCTGTACTTTAGATAACGGTCCTATGAAGAATAGACATTTAAAAGAATGTACGTCTCTCTTTCCTGAGAAAATGTATAGTCCAACGATGTGAAAGGTCGCGATAAAGACGATTAAAAGTTGTTTTCAAGACGGGGTTTCGATTTTATTTTTGATCGCGTCGATTTGTTCGACCGATAGAGATAATCAAGAGGCCAACGGTCTGGTGCTGATTCATCTCGACATATTTCTAAAGTAATGCGCGGAAAACCGCGAATCTGCGTTCGTTATCTTCTAAAGCGTCGTCTACGATACCTGGAGTAAAGCCAACGGCACACGGCACTACTTTTTCCCACGGGATTGCTTACGAGAGCCAATCAGAATGCAGGGTTTTGGATCGGGTGACTTGAAGTTAAATCCCAATTGGCTCTCGTAAGCGATCCAGTAAGAAAAATTGTATCGTGTGCCGTTGGCTTAAGCTTGAAGCAAGGAGTATGAGAGAGCCATAACTTTTGGCTTCTGGGCCCCGCGATTCTTGAATTCATTCGAAGAAGAAACGTACACGAAAATTCTGCTCCGACAGAAAAGTTGAAAGTCGATTGGCTATTCGCATGGCTTTAACCAATCGACTTTCAACTTTTCTGTAAGAGCAGAATTTTCGCATACGTTTCTCCTTCGAATAAATTCAAGAATCGAGCCCCTGGTTGTAAGGAAACTAAAATACAGGCATAATTTTTAAAATATTTGCAACACTGGCCGATAGCGTTCACGATTCACCGAGAGTAAGTGTAAGAGCTGAAAGCGAGGAGGAAACCGCTGACCAAAATCTTTCAACATCAAGTTTCGTTGATCGTATCTGGCTTGCCAGATCAACAGAATTTGATGTTAATTATTGCTGGCGACCCTGAAGAATTTTCTTGTTCAAAGTCTTTTACACCAATGCTTACAGCAGCCTTGCTGGGGCAGCATAAAGATAAAGTAAGATAATAAGGTGAAGTAATGTCCACTGGGCATTAATGGTGGTATTTTATCTTTACGATGCCCCCAAAAATGCTTGGTAATGCCTAGTACTGTCCAGTAATGCCGCAAATCTGTACGCCACAATGCCCTCGAGCTGAAGTGGGAGCAAGAAATAAAATGGATTAATTTCTTTACTCCAGGCTTGCTCCATGCGTCGTTAAACGACGCACGATACATTTTGATGCACGTGAGCTTTGTACAGTTTTCTCATACTCCATTTTCTAGAATCGAAAAAGGTTTATATCGTATTACGTCGTAGAAGCAAATAGAAGCGTTTCGTCATCGTATTTGACCGTTGGTTTCTTCAGACGAGGAAATCGAGACACCCGTCAGGCGATAGGAAGAAAACAAACGAGCTGACTCCAAGAGCACGCGGAAGACGTAAAACGTATCAGTAAAATAATAAATTTCCGATGCGCCTTGCGAAAGCGCGAGAGAAAGTCACCCCCTCGTCTCGGGCCCGGTTTCACCAACGTTGTTTAGCTTTGAGCTTGGCTTAATTCGTTCGTTGCCTCTTTCTAAAGTAACAGTTGGAAAGAGACAAAGAACGAATGGAACCGAGTTTAAAGTTAAGCGACGTTGGTGAAACCGGGCCCCAAGTCGTCTTCTTGAAGCCCTGCCCACCTCTGACCACGGCATAATCAAAAGCATTGTCGAAATAATGCAAAATCCGGAGGACAAACAAAACGCAAGAGACTCCAAAAGGAGTAACGCAAAATCTGGAGGAGCAAAACGCAAGAAACGCAAAAAAAAAATTGCATGAAAATGTCGCGCCTCTATGAGCCGCAAGCAGGATCCAGAGGCTCGATTCTTGAATTTATTCAAAGGAGAAACGTATACGAAAATTCTGCTCCGACAGAAAAGTTGCAAGTTGATTGGCTATTCGAATGGCTTTAACCAATCGAATTTCAACTTTTCTGTCAGAGCAGAATTTTCGTATAGGTACGTTTCTTCTTCGAATGAATTCAAGAATCGAGCCCCAGGATCCTCCCTAGGTGTAGAACGGGCATAAGATACATGTAAGATACATGTGAGATACATGTAAAGAAGATATATGCGCGTCTTTACACGACGGGACGAACGAACCGTGCCCGCGGGGGCGGCGCGGCGATTGGCCGGAGCGGCTCGGCGCCCGGCCAATCCGCGGGCCGGGCGCGGCGCGCCGCGAGCGGAGCCGAGTGGAAGCGGCCCAGACCTGTGGCCGGGAACGGGAATAGGGAGGGCCTCCGGTGTCGGTCCGGTACTCCGGTATTCACCATATTCACCGCAGCGGAGCAGTGTGGTCACGTAGTCCCGTCGCGCCGGATGGTGGATGGATGCTCTTCTCGCCGTTCGGGCACCAGAGTAAAATGCAGTAGACCGTGTGCGTCGTCGCCGTTGCACCGGAGAGAGGAAGGAGCGCACGCCAGCGGAGGATTGCCCCGCGTCGGTCCGCCGTCGTCCGGTAATTATCGCAAGTGCACTTGACCGCGGGAAGAATAGCAGCGACGTAGCAGAGGGGGGGGGGAGGGAAGGAAGGACGGCGACGCGTCGGCCGATTTGACGGCGCGTCGCCGTCGCGCTCCGTCGCCCCGTCGCCGAGGAAGTGCGTCGTCGCGCGCGCATCCCCTCGGCGACGGAGCGGCTCCCACAGTGGCGGTCGCCCTTTGTCGCGCCGCGTCGTCATCGTCGTCGCCCGGGATCCGTCGCAGGTCGATCGTTCGCAGCGGGAATCCTTTCCGTCCTCCCTTGTTTTCGTCCCTTCGTTCTCCCTCCCCACCCCCGCCAATGTGTATACGTCCGCACCGTCTCTCTCTCTCTCTCTCCCTCCTCTCGCTCTCTCGCTCGCTCGCGTCCACTACCGGTTTTCTCTCCGTCTCTCTCTCTCTCGCTTCGTCCATCTCTCTCTTTCATTGCCCCCCCCCCCCTCCCGCTCGTGACGTCGAACGCGCGCGACAACGCAGTTACTCACGCAGGCAGTCGGGCACGCATGCACAGTCACGTTCGGACACGTACGTACATACGCGGGCGCGCGCACACACGCGTACGTACGTACGCGCGGTGCGCGCGACGTTGACAAGGGCGAACCGCGACGACGGCCTCTCCGACGCCGGGGACGCGAATTTCCCGCGAGAGCGGAAGCCGCGGGCGACTCGCTCGGACGTGACGCCGATGCTTTTTCGAAAGAAGAGAAAGAGAACGAAATTTAACCGGAAGACATCTTATCGGCTTTCCCTCTCGCGAGGCGCCGCCGCTCGGCTCCCTCTCCCCCCTCCCCCCTCCCCCCTCCCCCCGCCACCGTCCGTCACGTCGCCTCGTCTCTCGCGCGCGCGATGCCATTGCACCGCCGAACGGATCGCAGCAGGAGAGGCTATAAATACGCATCGCGCGCGCGGGGTAAACAAACTTGACCTCAGCGGAATTCTCTTATTGGCGTGCATACGCGAGAGAGCGGCTTTGAGGTTATGTGCCGCGTCCGCGAATTTCACCCCCCGAGCTCGAGCGCGTCGCGGAGACGTCGACGAGTTAAGAGTTGCGGGGCGGTTTGACGTTTCTCGAGCGGCGATGGCCGCTCGCCGTGCCAGAGGGGAGGGGGCGGGCGAGCGAGCCCGGGCTCCGCGATCAGGACGGACACGTTGGCGGGACACCGCGGCGATCCTCGATTACCGCGTGTCCAGGGCTCGTCTTGCCAAAACCTTCCGCCTGCGTAAATCCGACTCGGAGCGGCTCGAGCCGCGATACTTTTCCGCGTACAAGTATCTCGCGAGACTCTCGAAACCGATCTTGCTTCCCCTCTGAAATTTCGAGACGTTCGGGTTGAATTTATCTCGCTGGATACTAAACACGTAGAGTCGATTCGCGTTTGTGTTTATACACCCGTGGCCTCCAAGCCGAGACGTTACGTGCCGTTGGAATTTACGTTAAAACAAATTGCTATATAGACGTGCGCTTTGCCACTGTAAAAATACGTATTTTCACATTCTCTTTGCACGTAAAAATATGTATTTTCGCATCCTCTTTGTAAGACGGCGTTTATCCACTCCGCGATACTGGAGCGACAACCTGCCGTTTATATCCTTTTGCATTTGTTTAAATGAAAACGCCGACCCGCGGACGGGCGATTTAAAATAGAACGATTTCGATCCCGGTTTATTTTGGTAACAGAATACTGGCATTTGTCAGCTACTTAAAGACTGCGAGCACGACTGCTGTGCGTTTGGCTTGAGCAGCAATCGAGACGCCGTATCGGAAGACTCCCAGGGGATCCAAAATGAAGTGGACGTCCGGTATTCCCTTTAACGAACAAGTGTGCGAGCTCACGCGGGTGTTCAACCAGTGGAACGAATGCGAACAGACTGTCGTTCTCTACGCGCTGCTGCGCATCATACCCGCGGTACAGGCGAGGTTTCTCTCGCACGCCATAGAACACTCTCTGCACTCGGTGGCGGAGTTGGGCATCAAGGAGATGAACGCCAACAATCCAAGTAATTACAGCACTTACGTTTTACGCCCGAGAGCTAATTTTGTGCGCGATTTAACGAGGCACGCCGCGCGTTGTGTGTACGGTAGACGCGTTAGTGATAAAACATTTTGTATGCAGATTACATCAACTCGTTGTCGTCGGAGTCAACGGAGACCGCGATCACTGAACTCCTGACGCATCTGCCCCTGCTGAAGGCTGGGAATTTGGAGTGCAAGAACAGCTATCTGGTAGCGATACCGGAATTGGTGAGCCACTGCGTGAGCACGGGACAATATACGGAGAAGACGCAGCAGCTGTTGAGCTACACTTTGATACATCCAGCCATAGATAATCAAGACAGACGTCTTTTAACTCAGTGGCTTAAAGATCTGGAGGAACGTATCAGCAATACACCGCCCGGTTCCGGCTACGAAGATCCAAACACTTCGATAAGGTGACTGCGTTACAATGCGATATCGACAATCATAATATTTCATACAACTGAGATAATGTCGTGTCGTAATCATGATATTCTCTTATGTGTAATATGTTTCTAATCTCGGTTCCTCTATCTCGCAAGATGGGACAGAGATTGGCTCCAGAGAGCCTCCAAACATAGTGATCATCACACGGCTCTGTTTAATCTACCGCCCAGCTCTTCGTTTCATTTATCCTTTTCTACATCCGTTAACCGTCAACGTCGTTCGAACAGCTTGACACCACCGGTAGCGCCGCCGCATCATCTCGAGATTGTCGACCGTTCCAATAACACGAGTACTTCATCCAGGCACAAGCCGCGCAGTTATAGTGTCTCCGGAGATCACGCCAGTAATTTTCAATTATATATTTCATATATAGGTGAATTTACATTTTTAGCTCGTACACTTCTTTAAATGGCTCATGTTTGTGCAGGCAATATTATTGGTTTGGGTCCACTGAGTCCGCAGAGTTCCTGTGCGAGTAGCGGTAGCGAGGGTCGTTTGGATGACGCTTCGAATCGTTCACTCGCGAGTGGCATGAGAGGTAGATTTTTATGTGCTTTTAATGCTAATTGATTAATAGCGTACATAAAATGACTGAAAAAGTTACATTTTTCATGTCGTTTTCAAATATCTACACTTAGAAACGTCAGTGTTTTCTCGACCATACCTGGCAATTTTAATAATACAGAAAATTTATTGCGAAAAGTATTACCTCAGCCAGGGTTTGAACCTGGACTTCCCTGGACACCGAGGCATATTTTTCGCAATAAATTTTCTGTATTATTAAAATTGCCAGGTATGGTCAAGAAAACACTGACGTTGTCAATTACCGCTGGCGACATTGAAGAATTCTGATTAGTTGATCTACATTTAGTATCTTTAAATTAGTCTTAATTATCTCCTCGGAGTAATTTTTAACCGATATATATTTTTTTTTCTCCTTTACGATTAAGAACGTCGATATCTAATTGTTTGTTCTGTTTTAGACGTACAAGCATGGCTTAAAACATTACGACTTCATAAGTACAGTGGTCTGTTCGTTACCATGACTTATGAGGATATGCTGCAATTGACAGAGGATCAATTAGCAGAGCAAGGGGTTACAAAAGGTGCTAGACACAAGCTGGCACTCTCAATCGCTAAATTGCAGCAGCGATACAACACGCTTTTAAATCTGGAAAAGGGCCTAGTGCAGCCTAGTGCTCGCGACGGCATGCAAAACTCTTCATTTTCGCAGAGTTCGTCACTGCTCATTAATACGATGGAAGAACTTAAGACGATTCTGGCCACTCCTATGAAGCCGAGTCAAGAGAGCGATCCACAAGATATCCCTGCGCAGTTTACGAAAGTGCTTGGCAAATGTATGTACAAGAACCGATTTTTATTGTTAACATTTCTTTAGAGTGATATAAAAAGAAATCGCTAACGTATGGTTTCTCCCTTTAGTGTGCAGTAGATTGGCTTTGGAAAGCATCGAGGACGGTACCTTGTGTGCATACGTCAACATCTTGGATAAAGTGTTGCAGCACGATTGTTTCACCCCGAATCAGAAGGAGAAAGTGCAGCAGTGGCGCAGCAGACTTGGCAATCCGCGACCGACTCCAAAGTAAGTCGAGACACGTTCTCGCTAGAAAAGAAATGTTGTCCATTTGGAAAATAAACGAATAAATCGATCGCGTAAATGCGCGGTAATTTTCGACATGATCGGTGTGCACGTGAAATTTTAGGTGGCAGCATAGCTACGGCTATAACAACAGGCGATATGGAAATCTGCAGCAGCATAACAGGAAGCCGAGTTTGAATTTGAACCATATTCACAATATGCATACACCCAATCAGTTTATGATTGCTTCGCATCGAAATAGTATATCTACACCGTATTTGCAAAATAATCAGAATCAGATTCAGAATATGAATAACATGAATATGAATAGCTTGCGTGCGGTACATGCGACCGAGAAGCGACCGAGTTTACAGGAGACCAGCTTGCAGGTAAAGAAGAATCTAGTTTTTGAAATCTTTCAGAGCCCCGAGCTGCGTTCGAAAACATCGCCCCGAGTGCTCCTACGTATCATTTTATCCTCCGTTTAACATTCGGTTAACAACAAGGATTAAGTGTATCAATGGGACACTCGGGTGACGTTTCCGCACACAGCCCCGATAATATATTCCGTTTATTAATACAATGGCGCTTCGATTCTTGCCTTGCAGCAATTGCAGAAAACGCTGCAACGTGCGTACAGCGCGCCGCGTGACCACTTTGTGGAACACTCTGCCAATGGAGTGAACGAGACTGAACCGGAAATCGACTCTCGCCTGGAGTCCCTCTGCATAAGAATGACCGAGCAAGCGATCGGTGGGTTCGGCGAGGCCTAATCTTCCATGTACGCGAATTTATCGTAAGTCCTTTTCGGATTTTCGACTTGGGAAACCGAAGGAATTTCTGTTCGCCAAAACGCGAGTTGTCGTTATCTCGCATTCGCTCGTGAAACGGCATATTTGAGTCATCGTTTCAAAGTGATACTGCTAGAGGGACGACGCATACTTTTTCTTCTTCTTTTGTGTGCAAATACCTGCGTGTACACACACTTATGCTTTAATATCACTACCAAATGAGACAAAAGGATGTCCGACACATGCGACATTATCGATAAAGTGATAAAGCGATAAAGATAAGTTTTTTCTCTAAAGAACGAGATACACACCTACAAATTATGTTTTATGATATCCGATTGCAATTGTATTATTTAATTGACAGAATTTGGCAAGCCAAATGTTACTAGAAAGATAGATTCTTTCCTCGATTGTTTGCTGCAACCGTATATATAAAGATATTATATAAGAAGGAGTATATATATATATGCATACACACGCGTACACACACACGCGTATTATAGACTTTTATGAGGCAGAAAGGGGAAAAGGAATTTTAGAACATACGAAATACGGGGAAAGAAAGATGGTAAAATAACGTTACGTCACCACGCGATGTTCTTGCAATATTATTTTTTGTGTTATCCATTTTACGAAATGGAATTCGTCTGATTTTAAGCGCTACGGAGACGTTATAGTAACGTAATTCACTTTTAATAACGACTGATTTTACTTCTTTTATTATTATTACTATATATTATTATATTTTTACTACTATTACTATCGATATCACTACAATTACTAGCGCTACTATTGCTCCTACTACTATTATCGCTACTACTATTCTATCGCTATTACTACTATTTCTACTATCATCACTACTATCGCTCTTTACTACTACTACTACTACTATACTCCGTCTAGAGAATGAGCATACTTAAAGGATTGCCGCTTTGTCTCGCATATAAGTTAATATCTTTAAAACTTAATCTCAACTGTACCGAGAAGCACATATGGCGGCGTGTATGCTTTGTAGTTTGCGCACAGATCTCGTGATTTTTCAATTTGGTTGACGGATTTCATCCCATTTTTCGTTTTTCTCTTGTTTTTTTTATAAGATACGATAAGCTGTAAAACGCGAGTAAATATACAATAATGGATATTAAGGGCCTTACGTGAAGAGGAAAACGAGCAAACGTATAAGGTGTAGAAATTTGATATTATAAAGTAGCAGCGAAATTCGAGGGAGGTAGACTGGCGCTGTACGTTTATGGCGCGACATCGAAATCTGTGGCTTTAAATTATAAGCATACATAACATCGTATATAATCTATTTAGCATGTGTTAAAAGTAGCGTCGCGAGTAATGTAGCATAATATTTTTTCGTGCAAGAAGAATAAATTTATTAAATCGCGTAAACGCTAGTGAGCTAATAATTGATTATCCGTAAAGTAAGGAAGAAAAAAAAATATATATATATAATGAAAGACTGAATAATTCACGCGCCACGATCCGTCGATTTAGATTATCCCCGGATGCTTCACTGTCCCCTCCGTTCGCGCGGACCTCGTGAGTGCGTGAATAGAATAATTGGAGAAGACTGTGAAGAAGGAAAAACTTGTCAAAATAATTAATAAGAATTAGAAACGCGAGCGCGCAAGAGAAAGAAAGAGAAAGAGAGAAAGTAAGAGCGAAAGAGACTTTAATGAGAAAAAGTGTACGAAAGAATTCCGAGGTTGAAGATGAAGTTAGTTAATTAGTACATATTATATTAGTGATTATTGTAATAATTGTATTCTGCTAGAGGGCAATACACGTAAGATCGCGCGGTGACATCTCGAATTCAGGAGTATCCTGCTACGTAAAGCTAAGAGAACTGTTTATATTTAATAATAACCGTAACACACACACACACATACACCCGGAGGGATGATCATAACTTAATCGTTATTCCGTTTTGCACACGCGATATATCTTTTACTCGATCAGTGGCAATAGCAGCACCAAAACCTGTATTTGATCGGTTACATTTCATTCTTTGCACTATACATATACATATGTATATGTATAGTGCAAAGAATGAAACTCCACGTAATTCCAGGAGAGAGAAGGAAAGAGCGAGCGAGAGAGAGAGAGAGAGAGAGAGAGAGAGAGAGATACGATCAAAAGCTAGTCAAACTTAATAATTTCTACCAGTTAACTTATATAGTTAATTAATTGTACATTAAATCTACACACACACATACTTTACCAGAATTATATAAGGGTACACTCAAGAAAGAGAGAGAAAGAAGACACATTATAATTCATATTTTACACATATAGACATGTAACGCGCGCGCGCGCGCGCACACACACACGCATATACATCACACATACGTACGTTCACACTCGTCACGTAGTACACGCAATAAGTAAAAGCGATCCGAGCGAGAATGCATGTGAAAAAAGCTCAAAGACTGCTCCTAAGCGACATCAGGAATTTCATTCAGCGTAGAATTACTACTTATATATCTCATCTTATCGAAGCGCAGCATCTAATCTCCAACTGACAAAGGCAGGACCTGAACTTATGAAAGGATGCAAAGAGATTTTATCCGCATACATATAGCGATCAAGAGCTGAGAGAAGGGAAAAGGGGGAAAAAGAAAGGACGTAATCAATCCTGCCGAGGATGGACCGCCGCTGCGTTAATTTTCTGCCGATCGATCGTTAATCTAGCGTCGTTGTTGTTTGTGGTAAGCTTTTACGGAATAACGCAAACGTATTGTACTTAGTACTCTTGCACAATCTCTGTCAGGATCGACGGACGCCTGTCTTGCTTAAAATTAACTGTCGGCGGCGGTTTGTTACGTGGCTTTCAGAAGACGCGAGAACTGGTGCGTGCGAACGAATGAGAACGAGCGGATGAACAAATCGACGAGGTTGTCCAACCGAAAACGTTCGTATTCGCAAAGTGGAGAATTACAAGGAGTATACAATGTGTATCCTACGTATAGGAACAAACACTTTCGATTTCGACGGAATGAAATGTTGTCTCTCTATGTAAAAAAGATGTTAGTGATAAGTGTAAAACGCACGCGCATGCATTTTATAGTTGTACAAAGAAAATGCAAAAATCCGAAACTGTTACCGAAATAGTGCGTGCAACAAAACGGTAACGCGAAATTTTTCCATTTTAGAGCCCGTACTTATATATTAATGGAACGAGCCAGCGGAGTCTCCACGCGGCATTCGCTCTATTAGTATGTAAATACTAATTGATCTGCGATTTATGACTCCTTGCAATTTTCCAATTCGCGGTTATCTGCACATACACGTGTGCGCATTTTATTAGCTTGACTCGTTACATTCATATCGGGTTCTCTGGCTATCTTGAATTTGGATAGCGGTAAAATGTACCACGCTGGCCGCGTTATGTTATCCGCTCGTTGGCCTCGGTTCAGGATAGTCGAAAGTAGGATATGTTGGGTAAATTCGCGGGTTTATTCTTTGGCCGGATACTTGCAGCGACCATCGACTGTTTAGGACATTGCGCTACTGATGATTTGTAGTAGTAGACTGTTTCGAGTGATTTTCCTTGATTGTAATTTCGAGGACAAGACGATGCGAGTTTCCGGCTGAAGACGTTTCACGAAAAGACCCAGATAGCAAATAATAAATTAGATCCGATGTGGATAAGTTGTAGAACCGACGCGTTGTAGCGACTGATTTTACTTTAAAGAAAGCGCGTCGCGCGACCGGAAAGCACGCCGCGAGACGCTTTTTTTCTTGTACGCGGGGTCGCTCACTCCCCGCTGAAGTACTAGTGTTCACGTTTTGCCGCAGCTTCTCCGGATAATATTAGAATAAGTCGTAATAAGACTCTTCGTCAGATTGCTAACTGGGATACCTTAGTCACCTAAGTAAGCTGGGCAACTTGTAAAAATGCAATTTTTGTACTATTATAAAAAAGTTGAATAGACGAGGGTACACTGACGTTGTAGCGTGGAAGACCATTTTTCAATAAAAGATTTTTCATACGCATACATCGTGTACTACTGACGTTAATTGTCTGCGTGCCAGAAATTGGACGAGAGAATCGATTTTCACCTGCGAATAGAAATCGATTCCAAAACGTTATCTCTTATCCAATTATCTTATTGTAAGAAACTGTATCTGCTTTAACAATTCGATGTCTTGTAGGAGCAATTTTCTGTTGACGAACGAAAACGTACAACATAAATTGCTTCCGATTCCAAGGCATCAGGCGAGTACGAAGGCATCGCGTCACTATTAAACGTTTCAATCTTAAGGAGGTAGTAATATTTATTTAACAAGAATTGATATTTTGTTATCTCTTGCATAGCTACGTGTAATTAAGAATACGATTTTGAATAGTCTACGAGAATCTGTTTATCTTGAATATTTCTTATGTATTTCTCACGGCGAATAGGATTTTCATACGAAACAACGTGTAAAAATGAAAGAAACACAGTGATTAATCTTATAGATCTCTAAACAGCATTTATTTTCTCCTCTTGTTACATTTCTGAAGTCGCATTCCCATCCGGGAACGTCGTGCACAGTTTTAACGGTGAAAGATAATATTAAACGTCGATACAATGTCATCGTTCCGTGTAATATATAAATATTTAGACCTGTGCCGGCGACAAACGCGTACGCCGAATCTAGAATCGGTGTGATTTTGTTCGATTGACTTGCGCCGTCGTCGTTTCCTCGTTTTCCACCCACCCATCTCTAACGGAATGGCTACGTACGCACGCAGGGATTCAATGTATTAATGCATTCTTCGCACAAACGACACAAGGTTGCTGAAATATCGGATACGAGTACAAAACGATTATTCGCGCTGAATCCCCTGATAAAACGGGGCCGTTACACCCCCTCGTCCAAGTTCACTGACAGCCTTGATAAACTAAAAACACGAGAGATAGTCGGACAACAGAAACGATCTAAAGATCTTTCTGAATTTTTCTGCTGATTGAGAATTAATTAACTAACGTTAGAAAATGTTGATGTTGAGGAAAGATCTTTCGTTCAGACTCGAGCTACGATATAGAGCTAATAAACGGAGAATGAAAATTTAATTAATCACGGGTGACAGTACAACATATTAGCTCGTGCACTTTGCTGTTCGTACCAAACATTTGAAGAACCTCTCCTCTCTGTTTTCTATACACTCACGCGTCCCGTTCTAGTATACGAAGTGGCTACAAAATAATAATAAATACTTACGGCCTACCTAACGACTACTCTTAAGTTTGAAATGCAAAGGATCAATCGTCGCTTAAATCGTACAGTTAAATAGACAGTATCCACATACTTAAAGTTAGCTCGTAATTTAATATATATGTATGTTCGGTATAATATAAACATCGATTTATCTCGCTTCCTCTCCTCGTCACGCATACACATATAACACGGGCGCGTAAATTCTACCTTTGTCTATACACGTATTTACATGGATCGACGATAAGATTTCACTGTCACGAACGTACATATATCCACGTGATACTGCTGATGCGCTTGCAATAAAATTAATGAATTCCAGGATAACGTGCAACGAGATGAGACTGTTTAATCTAATGTCAAATTGTTCAACTAATCGCGCTTTCTTTTGTTACAGCTTAATGAAGTTATAGACGGGATACAACTTCACTGCAGCAGCACTACATCGTCCGTTAGGCGAGTTTACCTATTTTATCGGTTTGACTCGAAAACAAAATGGTATCAAACCGAAACTATTTTTTTCTAGTCTCAGTTTTGTGTACATTTAACATTTCTACAGAGGTTTCTAGCAAACTGACGGTTTCCAGGACAACAATCTTATCTTGCCTAAACGTGATAACGACTTGACTGGCATTTCAAGGATTTTTCGAAGATGAGTAAGAGGGAACAGAAAGTGCTGAGTGTGTGCCCTCGAAGAATTTTCACTGTAAATTTCCGACCCAGTAGTTCGAATTTAAACATCCTGCAATATACCTCATCTATATCGTATTTTATATTACTTTTAGGCAATAACAGGTAATATATTCTTCTCTTTTTAAAGCAGGACAATTTTTTTCATAAAAACGAATCTGCCTTTATGAAAAAATTGCCTCGGGTAACGGCACCTTCAGCCTTCCGCATTTTTTCTTCTGGTTTCTATAGACTGCGAACTACGAGTTAATTTTTTTAAAAATTGTCGATAAGAAAGTCTTTTTTTTTAACACGAGAATGATAAAATGCAGTACAAATTTTTTAAATAGTTAACTCTTCCGAAACAAACATATGTATACACGTCTACATATATAAATCAAGTGATTCGGATATACTTTTATTTCTACGAATAAAATCGGAAAATATTCGAAACTCCTAGTAGCAACGTTTCTTTTTCTTTCTTTTTTTTGATGAAGAAGTACGCGTGTTGCGCTTTTTAAATCAAACAGTCACATTTAGGAGATAGTGTCACAGCTAATAGTTTGCAGCAGCATTTAGTGATTCTAGTTTTTGTCTATGTACAAAGCTTTATAATAATCGTAAGGAAAACAGTACAGTTTCGATAATCGCTCGTACTATCCGTCGACACACGATCTCTGCGAGTGGAACGATCCATGCATATTACACGAGGAACACACGCCGATTAGACTGTTACTGAATCGTGGCGATTTGCGGAGTCACTTTACCGATTGGCGCAGCAATATGTAATCACGTTATTAATAATAATATCGCTTTCACTGCGGCTTTCCCCGTTCCGTTCCGGAAAACGATTTTATCCCGGTAAACGCCAGTAGACTAAAATGACTTCGCAAACACTCCGTTCTCGACGGCTCTCTCTCCGCCTTTCGCAAAATCCTCTTTGGTCTCGTACGTTCAAATAGAATATTGATAATGCAACGCGACGCGTGGAATTCCGCCTGTCGCGTCACATTACACGCTTCCGTCATGTTTCGTAGCACGCTTGGCGGCTAATAACCGGTTTCGAGCCCCGTATTCTATTTGAGGATCGACTAATATGTAGTATGGCATTACGAGAAAGAAAAGAAATGTACACAGTCATACGTAACGGACCTTCTTAAATCGAGTACGCTAATAATACTTGTCATGCAATATCGGTATAACATCTCGTGCTCGACGACCGCTAAAATTCGCCATCCCGCGATTTCTTCTTACGCTAATTAAATTTAATCGTCGTCTCCCCCGCTCCGCTAAAGGCTACGGTTCGCGCTCGTACATTCTCACATTTAACGCCAAACGTAGTCGTTTGATTCTGAAATTTATTTGTCTCGTGTCGAGGATCGCGTCTAACGGTACCCGTAGACTTGGAGTCGACATTTCGCGCCAAATGCGGAATATAAATACGGCTCTATACACCGCGAGTTCATCTATCCCTAACGTTAAATCGATCCGTTATTGGCAGTACAGAAAAAAGAAGTGTGCGCCAGATCAATAGAACGTACGAACGGCGAGACACCAAAAACCGTGCATATCTCTTTCCGGCGCAGTCGCCGGAGTGTTTTATCGTAGGATTTCCTAGACACTGGTATAATCACCGAAAACTCATATCCTTCTAATCGGCACTCGAGAGTCTCCTTTATATTCTTTTGTTAAGCTACATATAACTATTTATCATTATATATTTACTATTACATTTTCTCTCGGTTGATAGACGCTTATTTGCGTATATTCTTTTTCGGGCGTTTTGCATATAAGCCGAATGCATCGGATAAAATCTACGTTATCTCCATTACTTCTACGTTAGTCATTTGGTATGGAAAATGTCATTCGTTCTCACAATTTGTTCATAGTTATGCGGTATTTCATATAGTACTAATAATCTACTCTGAAATATAATATATATATATATATGTATATCACATGTTTTTTTAGCGTCGCGGTTCCGCGATATCGAGAATCATCCTCAATTCTGATCTTAACTCACTCGTCAGCCTCTCGACGACATACTTTGTTAGCCGGATTTTTATCTTGCAACTAGATTACAATGCGAACAATTGCGTACCGTATATAATATCAATTAGACGAATACATATATAAGATCTCTCTGATTATAAACTCTTCAGATACAACATTCTTTGACAAACACCGGAAACCCGCGAATGTCGACATCGCGGCGTTTGTACAATCAGTTCCCCCCCCCCCCCTGCTCCCACCCCCTGTCTCGTGTTTCCAAAAACCGAGAGTCCCATCGTCGGGGAAAGATAAACCCCGCCCTATCTGCCTGGATGACGAGACGAAATTCCGAGTATTCCATTATCGATATTCACATGCCTTCGATAGTTTCAATATGATTGTCATCCGGTGTAAGACACTAATACTCGGCTAAACGTCGTTCTATTCCTCGTTAATCACGCTGTTAACACACTCCATGTCGTACGTATTGATTACAGCCCAGTGGAAAATCTTCGAGGTATCTATTAATTTTTTTAACCGAAAACGTACACTTGTTTTCCAGTCCCCTTGAAATATAAAAACTGGTACGCGTTGACGTTGCATTATACACGACGAAAGAGTAAATTAAAACTTATCGCAGGATATTCGATCGGTTTAAAAGAGTTACTCGTAAAGTACCATAGGATTAAATATCTTTGCATCAGCAGAAATAACTCTGCATCGTAGTAGAGAAAAGTTTTTAAGTCTTTTTAGTTTATACGAATACAGAATAATCCGGAACGATGAAACTCAAACTTACATGCAATTAAATTATTGACTGAAATAATAACGTAATTTATACTAGTAACAATGGAACGTCAATGTCGCCTATTATATCTAATTATACATTTTGATATAACATAAAATTTTATTCCTTTATAAAGATAAATGATGGTTTCTCCTTATAAAAAAAAAAAACGAGACTCTAGTCTCAGGATAAACACATAAGTTTGCGTCGTGCTTTTGAAAACGAAAAATGACTTATATCCTTATTCTACTCATTTCTAAAACATTTACTCCCTTTGCAGGTGCAAAATTGCTCATTGATGCACCTTTCATTTCATATTCCTAACGTGTATCAATTTTTCTAGGAAATGTAAAAAATGAGAGAATCAAGATGCGGATTGAACACTACTTCGTAACAACATTCGTCAAAGTTTCTTCCTTCAGTTGCTCATGACTGCTTCAACTCTGAAGGGACGACGGAAAGATGGCTTCACTCCTTCGGCTTCCTCAGCCAGTTTCTACGGCCGAGACTGGCGACGCTCATCGAACTGGCAGTGCTGGTGACGCTCGCCAACGAGTTCAGGCTTACCGAATGTTAATCCTGCAGCATGTGTACGAAACTAATCGGAAACATGCCTCGCCGCTCCGGCGCTCGTTCTAACGCGCCTTCCATCCAGTTGTCATCGTCGGTCTGCTCATTCGTCACGATGATGACCTCACCCTCGCGAAACGACAGCTCGTCCTCGTTGTCGGCCTCGCAATCGTACAGGGCCCGGCAGCGTCGCAGGCCGCTCAAAGTCGACGAGGTTGGCTGGAGATGGAATGAAAAAAAAGTCATTCGTAGAACCCGGCAGACACCGTAACGTGCATGTTTCGACCGTCTGGCAGAAGCAAGCACTTTCATTGCTCGTACCTCTGTCACGAGACGACAAGCTTATGAATGTTTGTTCTCCAGAAATTAAGAGAACATTGGAAATTCTAGGGAAATTATTACAAAATCAGCGAGTGACATGAGCCATCGATTAATTATCTCCTAAATAATTAATTTTATTTCTTAGTTAACTTATTACTCTTTTCTTTTTAAAATTGAAAAAGAAATTTTTTTTAAATATTATCACGAAAGTAGATTATAATAAGTAAATATATTCAATATGTCCAAGAAAAATTAAGCTTCGCCCAGATATGAGTATCAGGAATTTTTAAGATTACAGATTTTGATACGCCTCCAAGAAAATATACTGACACTAGAATTTCCAATAAACACCAATATTATATCATGCTAGTTATATGTCCTTTAATATCTGAATAGCTTAGGGTAAGAGAATTTAAGGGGGAGGTATCTCACGTGTCGGAAGGAGTAGCATAATGCGATCAAGTATTGCCAAACATTAATCCACTCGGAAACCCATGCGAGGATCAGTATTTACAATTATACTTTATATCTATTTAGTTTCTGACATAATTTTTTATCAAGGAAGTCACACGTAGACTAATGACTCAAATTAATAAATGACCAGGACGTGGATATTAGTTGAAATACAACCCAACGTGTCTCACGGAGTCTCGCGGAGTCCAATGGAGTTACATATCTTGCGAAAGATTTATATGATTACGGTCGAGTATCTTAACCGATAAAGAGTGTCTGAACGTGATTAAAATGGCAATGAGATCTAAATGATTATTTGGCACACGTGGAAATAATATACTTAAAGCCTCGACGTGAGCTGCATAAATGATGATACGAGCAGCATGTCTGATCATGCAAAGCATCGTTACACTTGAAAGTATCGGCAAGTGAAGTGGGAAGAGTAGGCTCTTATCATTCAGATTTATCATGAATTATAGCGACGTTGATTACAATCTTTCTCTTGGAAAGATTACGTTTTTCTATTATACGTACGATATTAATTAATCAACACTATATACAGTTATGTACAGATATTACATGCTTTGTATCATGTTTGATAACACGTGAAGCTGTCCTTACGTAGATACAACGGTAAGCATGGAACGGTATATTCGTTTACAAGTGATTTCAAGTGTAACATGCTGTAATGTGGGATGGCTGATGTTTACCAGATTCAGATTTGGGAGCAAAGATGAAGGCTCCTCGGCGTAGCTCTCTAGTCTGGACCGGTCCCTTCGCTGTACCAACAATGGTTAATGACAAACCGTAAAGCACTGGTCTTGAAATGCATGCATTCTCTACATATCCACACACCATAGGTACACGCGATTGTATATTTAACTCGCACGGAATTGCTATTTAATCCGCGATAAATTGGTGAATATTTTACAACTTTCTGTCCGCTTATTGCTTATCGAACGACTTTATCTCGACAATCGTTTCGTGAAGTACTTTCAACACTCGAATGATTTTTTCTTCCGAGACACAACGGAAATTAATCGATCGTTAAATCTCGATATTATCTTCAGGACATTGTTTTTCATAAAGTTTGCTAAAAATAAACACGAAATGAATGAACGATGATGATAATGAAAATCTATAATGTACTATTCTATCGACAATTAATAGATAAGGATTAAATGTGTAACAATAACTTATTTTGATATTATGGTAGTATAATGGAATGTGAAAGGATACAAATATGTCGATGTGCGAGACGTACGGTTAGTATAATAATGCAAAAATGATCCAAGCCCCCACGAATGAACACTATACTACAAAGGAGAAATGTAATGGCACAATCTGGTTAGTTACATATTTTTTCTCTACTGTGTTATTATAACAATGACAACCATCTGATCGAATGTGTACGTGTGTGCAAATAGATAAGATGTGAGACAGTAGGATAACATCACTTGTTAAGCAATACAGAGATGATGTAATTATCGATTTCGGCATATAATTATGTGGCGACTCCGTTCGAAGGTAAACTAGAGAATGATTTAGGATTTCGTATGAGCGAAAGCTTCGCGTACTCGACACATAGTTTTATGAATTTTTATATAGAGACTTATGATATTTTTAGGATCCTGGTTTTGTCACAATGTTGCGTTTGTTGAAACTTCGTATTTGAATTTCTTCTAAGATGATATTTACCAAAGTTGTTAAAATTCACATCCAAAGATTATATTTTTATCGAAATACATTTGCTACCAACTTGCATGTACAAAAGTAACACGATTCACCAGAAATTATAATAGTCAAAGCTTTCGCTTAATTCGAATTTCTTTTCAGATCATATAGAATCTACATTTTTCAAAATATTCTTATAAAAGTCCTAAACAAATGTCTATCTAGAATCTTCAATGAAATAAAACAACGTATTGTAAATATAGGGAAACAACGAAATTTTCAACGAAAAAATATTCTCGAGATAAAAATAATATCTTCCTCAATTCCTATGAAATTTGATAATTCCTGTTGGGGTAATCGCTAATTTAAGTGTGGCTTACCTTTCGCGGCGGCGGAATAGGATTGCCTAGACCGTGATCCGAACACATAGAACTCAGGGATTCGCTGCTGCGTCCGTTGCTTAGCCTAGTCGTGACACTGGATGGAGCCGGGGGCGGTGGATTTCGCGGTCTCTGAAGCGTTGAACTGTTCGCCTTGTCCATACCTGTACGCAGAAAGAGAGACATAAGTATCGACACGATAATCGGAATGCCGGAGTTTCTCCTGCGAGATTTATTTATCGAATGTACCGTGTCCGGTCGACGAGTCGCCGCTCGGTGATCTCTTATGATGTTGGCTATTTAATGTATTCAACGTATGCGGTAGAGTGTGTAAAGTGTGGCCGGCTAAAATCGGCTCGCTGGTCGTACGACTGTGCGTCGACGTAGCCAACGTGGGTAGCGTACCGTAGTGCGACGACGGCAGGACGCCGCTCGCGATGGAGTTTCCACCGGGCGGCGGCGGCGGCGCAACCCGCTTCTTCAGCGAGCCGTGGATGTTCAGTGAAATGTCCGGCGCCATGGGAGTGGGTACTGCGCGAAAAAGGCATCAAGCGGTATAAAACACATTAGGATTTTACGGAAATTCAGTTGTCTGAAAACCAGCACGCTTGGCAGATTTGTCGCGAGAAGCATACGAGCGCAAGTCTATCTTACCAGCTACGGGTTTCCTCGCCTGCGGCGGTGGCGGTGGAGGCATTTGCTGACGGTTCGTCGAGGCGCTCGGAGAGGATCCGCTCTGTAGACTGTCGCAAGTGCTGCTCCGACTGCGCAGTGTCACCGGCGAGTCACCCGGTCCCGTACCGCCACCCCCGGCGTACGACGGTGGTCTGCTACGTGACTTTTTCTCAGGCGTCAGACATCCATTCTACAAGAGGAATGCACATTCGTGAGTATAAATATAGATAGTTACACGCAAAGACAAATTTCAGAAGTGTCGATGCATGTTTATGCTAATGTACTCACCCTGTCTTCTATTATCGTTTCGTCGTCGGAGAAGTCCGTGGATCCCTCGTCGTGGGAAAGATTCCAGTCAATATTGACGTTATCAAACAAAGTTTTTTGCCTCTGGAGAGCGTGGCTGAGCTGAAAATAATTCGTTGACTTTCGTTATGCGATTCTTCAAAGAATTCACAAAGAATTGTTTTACGTACATCTTCATTGAACAAAGATTACAGAAAATTATAAACTTACATCAGTATTAATTTTGAGCGATAAAAAGTTGAGTAATAATGAAAAATATGTGTCTATTAGAAAAACTAGGAAAAGATATTAAATGGCAAACAATATACTATAGGACACGATTGAATTACCAGTTCTTTGCACGTATGGTGTCCCATTTCCTGCGCGATGTCGAGCGGCGTCTTGTCCTGCTTGTTTCGCTGCGAGGGATCCGCGCCAGCCCGTAGAAGCAGCTTCATCGCTTCCGCTCTGTCGTGCCGCGCGGAAAGATGCAGCGCCGTTTCCCCGTCGATGGTCGCCCTGTCGATACCGCCGCTCGGCATATTTTGCACCAGGAAATCCACGATGTGCAGACTGCTGCCCATCTCGCGCAGAATGGCCAGGTGTAATGCGGTTTCGCCTACATCCTGAAATGGACATCGGTTTCTCGGGGCTTGTTTCTTATAAAATTAACATAATTGTGAGAGCATTTCTCTCAATTATCTCCTGAGACACGAGAGAGTCTCTGTAAAAATGGCTGTACAACGCCTTACCGATGTCGGCAACGGCGCAGCCAAATCCACGTTCTCGGCGTAAACTTGCAGAAGTTGCTGCAGATCGCGATTGTTAACGGCGTGCTCCAAATCGGAAAGCAGATCGCGCTCGTCCGCGCACGTGTTCATCACGTATCTCTTGTCCACGTATTTGGCGCGTATGAACTCGTACCTCTCCTCCCTGAATGCCAGGAAATAAATGTGAAAACGCTGGGCAAAGTGAAAGTATGAGAATGCTTGGTAAGTCAGCGAGAGCACCGCGAATGAATTGTCATACAAATCCGCAAGTTCGCTCACATCGTCGACGTCGGCGACGGCTTGAGATTGTGACGCAACGTCGCCTCCATCACCTCGTTGAACGCCTGATTCGTCATGTGTCGCGCGAGCAACAGCTGAGCGGTGCCGACGTTATCCAGCGTCAGAGACTGTATCCGCGATATGTGGACGCCCAAGTCCCGGTGGATGCCGCTGCACTCTATGCATACTATTATGCCGAAGTTCGTCGACAGCCACGTGGCATCTGAAAAGGAGACACCATTGTCGCTCGATAACAAAACGCAGCAAGTGGGGCGCGAGCAAAGTTGCCCATTTCGCCCGGCTTTGTCACGCGGTAACGTCTACGAGAATGCCCGGCCAGCGAACCTACGAGCACTCGCTCGATGACATAAACGTGTTTTCGGTCGGCTCTCAGAAACCTTAGGTCTACATTAGTTTGTGATTTATTAATTTAATAAGACATCAATTGTCGCGCGTTTCTGTAACGTTGAATAACTGTCGAATAGTGAGAAATTGTAAAGAGATTTGATAGAAATTAGCGACTATATAAATAATCGTGGGACAACACGGCATTTCGAAGAATTGTATGGGAGTGTTTGAAATTTTACCATACGTTTCACTTAGTAATTATACTTCAAAAAACTCTCATAAAGTTTTTCAAAATGTTGTTCCACGATCACGTGATGTTCAGGATAAATTTTGAAGAGACATTTCTCCCCGTGCACGATGTACTAATTTGACGGAAATCGTTTCAGTCGTGCGCCAAGTGTAACGGACGGATTTGGCACGCGCCGGAGAAAGACCGGCCGGCACCCCGAATGATCGACGACATTCGCATTACCGTTCTGCGAGGAGCAATCACAGCACTGATCGTTTCCGGGTAATCGCATAACGCATCGTATAACAGCCTGCTGCAGCTCTACGAGGCTGGGATTGCCGCTGCCGGCCTCCGCCTTGCCGCTCGCGTCGAACGCCCGCAACAGGGCGCGCTCCTTGCAATTCACGAGAACCGACATCCACGCGCGCTGGTCCGCCTCGTCCTCCGCTTGAAAGTGGTACGTTCTATTGTCTGGAATCGAAACAATGACGACGGCATTACGCGGCGTTCGTCGTGAAGAAACGACGGGCGGGCGTCTATTGGAAGCTCGCTCGTATATCATAAGCGTAACACTTACAGCTTATGAGATCGAAGCCTCGCTTGTCGTCCGGTACTAACTTAATCTGGCAGGTCAATAGGTTCACCCTGGTGGGCGGCTTATTCTCGTCCGCGTGGCAGATATCGAGGTAGCCCTCCGCCTGCACGGCGCATCGCCTCTTCTGCCAGACTCGCCTCATCTTGCCCTCGCTCTTCTTCAGCAGGTGGCCGGAGCGCGTGACACCGTGTTGCTTGTCGCCCTGCAGCTGGTGCAGCGAGTAACCCGCGTTCGCGTTCGCGTTCAACTGCGACCGTGTAAGATTTATTGTGGCTTAAGATTTATGTATGGCGTTGCTTAGAATTTATGTGCGATATTAAGCGCAATATAAAGCGCGATAATGGAATGACTGGAGTTGATCCAAAAGTTGATAAGGATCTCAGATGCAAGGCAGTTCAATCTGAGATGAAAATATTAGCAAAGTTTTGGTTTTACAGTAGGTAGGCTAATATGATTAAGATGACGTTCCGAGAGGAACGTTGTTTACTATCGACTACCAAACAAAAGCGAAAAACGGTAGCAATTAAAGACTATTAAATCATCCTCTCTCGTCGCGCTTCCCATGACGTATTGATCTTGAAAAGAAAACCTGGCTCTCGATCTCGTCCTACCTCTTTGTCACACCCGGAGCTTCTAAGAAGACTCCTAAGCTCCGTTAGTCGTCTCCGTTCCTCATCCTGCGTCTGTCTGATTTTTTGCAACTTCACGCTCAGGTCGGCCACGTACGAGCCGAAGTGCTCGATAGTCTTCAAGCCGTCCTGAAAATAACTAAATTCCCGAGAACGTAAGAACGCTAGAAAGTCGAGTCGAAACCGCTTCTTCGGTCGTTCCTCAGCCCCCAATTAAGCTCCGTATAGATTGAAGCTTCAGAGAGATAAATATTTACTGTGATGACAACTTAGGATCAATTTGGTATCGCGTCTTGAAACCGTGAACAGCGTATTAACCCAAGTATTGACTGCGTTATACTTACTTTGTTTGCGCGTGATAATATTCGACTAGATGCTGCAACAGCTCGATGCCCTTCTTCGTTTTGATCTCGTTCACTTTGATCAGATACTGCAAGCAAACGTATGCAGCAATGATCGGCAATATTCTGCGTCTCTACCATCGCTTGGCCAAATACATTTTTATCGAGCGTATCATAAAAGCGATCCGCAAATATAGGGTGTGCGGGAACCATCGCCACTCCTTTAATCTATGGATCGCCCTAAGCAGTTTGATTGGGATCCACCCATTTTTAGCGAGCGAAGTTTAGCATCGAGCACTCCGCTAACCGAGTCTCAAATTACCAGTCCATTTCGCGTGTAAATAGTTATTTCTTTATTTAAATAGCCGTGGCTTAGTTCGCCGAAAGGTTTTTACTTTTCATCGCGCGGAAATGATTCTGCCGTTCGCTTTCGTTGAGGAGGAGTTACATTCATTTATATTTTATTAAACAGAATTGTTGAGTGATTTAATTTTACAATTTCCACGTTATATTCGCTACGTTATCTCAGTTATCTCCAAGACAGAATGTAATTCTCGAGCACCTTGTACCGACTGCCGACTGCAAAATGCAAGCGGCGAAAAGTCGAAAAGAGTAGGTAGAGTGTAATATGCAAATGAAGTTCTCGAGTTGGAGGGTAAACATTTTTCAGCTGACGCACGACAGTATCTAAACGACCGGATATCGGTGCACGCGCGTCGATAACACCGCATCGATAGCATCCACACGTCTCCCGTTGGCGTGATGTTACACCGTTTATACTTCATAGAGCGGGGTCTGCATCACCCACCTCGCACATTTGCAACTGAAACAACCGTCTCTCCTTCTCCATCTCGTCTGCGATCTCGGCGGGCGTGACCTCCGTACGAATCAGACCGGCCTCCTTCGCGTGCTGCTTCTTCTCCTTTTCGATTTTCGCGTATTTAGCTTCGTAGTCCTTCCAGGCCTTCTCGAAGGGCCTCTTCAGGTCCCCCTTCACGCCCCTCAGGTCGCCCTTCAGCACCGAATCCAACGGGAACATCACGATGTTGTTGATGTTTTGCATCTGCGAAATCGTAAGATCAACCGGTTAACAAATCTTCTTCTCAATCAAATAACACGCTATGAAAGCTATTAAATCTCCAAGTGACAACAAATCTCCGAGATACGTTATGGAAAAGAATGAAGAGGGAGACATTTTCCTAAATAAATTTATTAGCCAGGATATATACATAAATGTAAAAAAACAAGATTATTATTCACACGTTAATGAATAATGTATTTTCGCAGCGATAATCAGGAGGTATTCAGGCTTCGCCGTGCAGCATCCGCGGTGGCCGACCGGCGCGGCGGCCAGCGTCCCGATAAAAATACCGGTGGCGTACACGCTACGGTATCTATTAGATACAGACGTGAAAATATTAGCTCTCCTTATCTCCGCGGAGCAGCGCGAGCCATTTCAGATTGACCGAAGCGCAATAATTTATCTATTTATCGGAATAACCGGTCTGACAGGACTCGAATGGGAAACGGCGATGAGAAATGCGAGTCTTGGGCGGATTCCGTAACGGGGATCCACCCCGCCTGGCTCTATCCGACCGGTAAATAGTGAATCACCGTCGTGATTCGCGTCAGCACTTTGCTTTAGCCCGTCGCCTCTCGCGCGCCCTGAATAGAGTGCGGCTTCCTCTCGGAGCCTTGGGCTCTCTCTCTCTCTCTCGAGGGCGATCCCTCGGCCGCTTCGCGACTCTCGTGGAAACTCGGCTGGGAAGCGCTCAAACGCGCCGCATAATGGGCCTTGCGAGGGCAATGCGCAACCAACTCGTAAAGGCGACGCTCTTCCCCGCGAATGGAAATGGCAAACTGCACTTTGTTCATTAGACGAAGTCGCTCGGGCTGCTACAACAGAATCTCATTTAACTTATCGTTCCCTGTATCGAATCGCATCATCCGATCTTCCGCGGTGATTTATGTTAGCAGGTCACGCGAGGCAATGACGATCGATCTTGACTGCTGTTTAATTGCGTGGATTTAACGTTCGATTGCGTTATTTTGTCCGCCGCGGATTAAATGTGTTACTATCGTCCAGTTGAAAATAATATTAATTTTTACTTTCGGGTTCTTACGTCTTGAGAGAACGGGAGGGAAGTATCTTCGCACTGAGAAAAATATCTTAGCCTATCTAATCAATTCAAGCACATATTGACAAAGGGATACGTTCGATTAAATTGTATATTCGATGAGTAACATAATCGATTCTTTTTTTTTTATTAAATTTCATCGGTAACTGCAACTTCGCTGGATAAATTTCACCGCATATATCCACAATTTAATCGGAAAACTTAATCGACTTAACGGAAATTTTTCTTGGTGCGCGAATAATAGAATAGGTAAAATAGTTGTAGTCTTAGGCCAACGGCACACGATACTATTTTTCCTACTGAATTGCTTACGAGAGCCAATCAAGATTCAGTCTTAAGTCATCTGATCTAAGACTCTGCATCCTTATTGGTTCACGTAAGCAATCCAGTAGGAAAAATCGTGCTCTCCGCTCTTTCCTATGAAACAATGTTCGAGCGATTCAAGTTATTCTCTCATGAATGTCAAGCTTTTAACGTTAAAACAACGACAAATTCTGAACGTACTTCTGAAGTGATTATTCTGAACGATAAAAAAAAATTACTGCTCATTCCAATTACGGTTAATCGCTCGGATATGCTAATTCCGAGTTCGACTCGGATACGACCGAGCCGGGTTCTTAAGGTCCGCGAGCGCCCGATATCGCTCACGCCGGGAGTGCATCGCCCGATTTGAACCGCGGCCAATATCGGATGCAGATGTATTTTAACCGATTGCACGTGTGACGTAAATTGTCGTGAACGATCGAACGACGACGGCTCGGATCGCGGAAAAACGGTGTCGCGGCACGCGAGCAGTTTGCAAAAACGAAAAGTCCGCGCTTAAACGCCGCTAAATTTAAATTGGATCCGCGACCGCGGAATCGTCTAACGTCACGGGGAACCGCACGACGGGGGGGCCGCCGCGCTGAAAATCGCGGACGAGTGTGCGCGCGCGCGCGCGCGCGCGTTTAAAAGCTTCCCCGGTAAATATAAATCCGCGCGGTCGGTCGTTCGTGCGTGATAGAATCTAGGAGAGCCTCCTAGGCCGCGCGGCTATCGTGGCTTATAACGTTCGTGCAACGCTTCAGTAAACGTAATTATCCCGCCGCCGTGAGACGTCCCGATTTGTACCGCGCAGGCTAATCGCACTGCGCGGGGCTAGGAAACCGTCGCGTCGGCGCACGGCACGGGCAGAACCAGTTTGGATCCGCCACTAAATCCACGCCCGGACGATTACGTCCTGCCCGGCCTCTCGTACTTTTAGCCGATTTATTGCCGCTGGAAGGATACTTTACCGGGGACATCCACATTCATTTGCGCTCCTCCTGCTCTCTATCTCTCGGTACCGATTCCTTGGAATTCGATAAGTCATCGAGGTGACGCCGACGGTCCTGATTAATACGCGTTCTAGACAGAGTTCCTTCCCGAGCGGAAATTTTAGCAGGTTCCTGGCAGGGGCCTGTTAAGGGATGCCTTGAGGGTATGCTGGAGTGATTCTGCACCTTTCTAACCTAGAAACTGTCCGCTTCGTGGAAACATTTGTATAATGTACAAATTAAATGGCTCACGTGTACAGATCGAAAGCAGTTCGCTAGTCCGGCTAAGATTAAGGCCCGGTCTACAATGAGCTGTTAGTCGTTAGTCAGAAGTCGCAACTATATGTCGGTCCTTTTTCTTCCACCCAGAAAGGAAAAGGATCAACATATAGTTGCGACTTCTGACTAACGACTAACGACTCATTGTAGACCGGGCCTAAAGAACACCATGGCATCACCGAAACCAAGTTTGTAAGTCTACACACTACATGTACTGTATGTTGCTCACTAGTATTTCTTATTAGACTTACAAACTTTGTTTCAGTGATGCCATGTTCTTTGATCTCGCCGGAATGGCAAGCTGCTTCCGATCTGTATATTATACAAATGTTTCCAGGAAGCGGATAGTTTCAAGTGCAAAAGGTGCAAAAGTGCAGAATCACTCCAGCGTCCCCTTATGCGGCTGGTCGCGATGCAATACTATTTCTTCCCGAGAATTTTCGTCTCTGATACACGCCCCTTCTAGATCTTTTTACGCGAAAACATCCTACTAACGTGCATCCTCAGAAAGGACTTCTGTTACTGAGACAAAAATCTTCTTGACGCATTTATATTTCTCACCTCATTTATAGTAGTATAAAAATAAGACAATATCAAAATAAAATCAATCATTCTTATTCTCCTCTGTCGAATTAAAAAAGATTGACTTACTATATTGAGGCAACCCAGTGAGAAATGATTCGTCGATCGACGTCGAAACGACGTCGAATCGACATCGATACCGTCGAATTGACGTCGATCGACGAATCATTTCTCACTGGGAAGAGTGACTTATACATATCAATGTAAGTTTATATATTCTTGCGTTTAGAATATATTTTCCCTCCGTCTTACAACGCACGAAATTAGCACCGCAATATTCGACAAAAGACGATACTATCATTTTACTCTAGATTTTAGAATTTGTTATTTAAGATTAAAACATTCCTTCTCTATAATAAATATGGTGCTATATCGATCCTATTTTATGATACATTGAAGAGTAATAGCATTTGATCCGGAAATTTTTCTGCGGGTGTGGACTCGTCATATATCAAGTCTCTTAATTCGACGGAGTGACGAGTGACTTCGGGCCACAGACTGGAAGTCTGCGCTTCGAGCAGAATCCTTCAGAGAAAAGAAAGACGAGAGAAGAAGCGACTACGGTAAAAAATTACGAGTGAGCGCAGAGGGTTTTCCTCGCGGAGCACAATCGTCAACCTGACGTGCGGTTAGACGTCAGAAAAGTGAAAATACACGAGGCGAGGAGACCTTTAGCATCCTTTCACGAAGTGGTGACATAATGGATCGAGCAGTGGGAATAAAAAACACGTAATAATAATATTTCTTGTGTAATACTGTTTCATTTTATTCTTAAAGAAAAAAAGAAGGAGTTAAGTTTCGCAAGTACAGGAGCTAATTAAAAAAATAATGAATCTCCTTAGAAAACGCAACACGTAAACATTTAATTGTTGATGCTTTTCTGCGATGCTGATTGATTATCTTGTTTGGCTCATTTAAGAGTAACTTTGCAGCGCACAGATCATGTATATTTTAACAGTTTGTCAACGTCAGGTTACGTTTTCTTACGTCGCGTCTTCTTTGCATGGAAATTTTTATGTGCGAAGAAGATGACGGATAAATATAAATGACAGCTAAATAGCGCGCGCAATGCTTTGTCTAAGTCTTTTTAAATAAAGTACATATTGAATATAAACCAATTGATATTAATATTAAGACAAACAGTTGAACAATTCGTCTATAGTAAAATTTCGTTGATTGAGTAATATACATTTATATACACGTCAACTAAATTGAGGCAAAATCTCTCAGAATTTAAGCAACAATGATTTTCATTTTAAAACATTTTCGCAATTGAACGGAGTCAATCGTTATCTTTAAAGAAAGTGGGTCCGCAAAATGATACGCAACATGTGTACAGAAAAAGTTTCCGGATCCAATGCTATTACATTTCAATGTATCATAAAATAGGATCGATATAGCATCATATTTATTATAGAGAAAGGAATATTTTAATCTTAAATGAAAAATTCTAAAATCTAGAATAAAGTGACAGTATGAATCGTCTTTCGTCGAATATCGCGGTGGCAACTTCGTGCGTTGCAAGATGGAGGGAAAGTTTATTCTAAACGCAAGAATACAAACTTACATTTATATAAGTTACTCTTGTCTCAATATAGTAAGTCAATCCTTCTTAATTCAATAGAGGAGAATAAGAATTACTGATTTTATTTTGATATTGTCTTATTTTTATACTAAATGAGGTTGTGAGAAATAGATATACGTCAAGAATATTCTTTGTCTCGGTAACAGAAATTCTTTCTGAGGGTGTAACAGTCGCCGAACAGAGTAATGTGAAATATCAGGTACAAAATTCCTAACTCATATTTCGTGTTTTTCGTACGCGGGGTAACGAACTTTCAATGTTTGTTCTTGTTTTTATGCCCGCGCGGCGTCGTACGACGCTCTACGTACTATTGTTTACGCGAAGGTCGCTACGCTATCATTCGGCCGCCGAGCCTCGAGCCGGCGGGTAGTGTCGAGAAGTCGCTCCGTACGTCGCATTACTTTTGCGTTATCAGTTTCCGGGACGCGATCGCGACGAGTTCGTAGGGAATAAAACACTCTGCTAATTTGTACGCATTTACCAGTAACAAGTAATGTTCGTCGGCTGACTACTAAGTTTCCACAACTCGTAATGAGAAACAATTTGCACATTGAGGAACGGCTTTTTATCAGTAGATATGTACGTGACGAGACTAAATTCATCTAAAATACGAAGGTAAACCGTGGGACTCTGTCGCGATTACATATCGTTTATGCATCGCGCTTTGAATTATCTCTCGACTTCGGTGTAATCTGTTTTTCATCTTCGGGAAAAGAGAGAGATTTGTTGGTGTAGTGTACGGCTTTGATGCCTGTGTTGTTCGCTGTAATTCGTTCTGTGTCACACTTTGCAGCTCGTACAAGCAGAAAGCAGAGAAAGTCGCTTGTTGCGCGTTACGTTAGATCTCGAAAATGTGTTCGGAAATTATCTCGCAATCAGTTAACTGCTACAATTAACTATTCATCGCAGTGGATGTGTCGCCCGTGTAATTCATTTCGCGTAAGAATTAGATCGATTGGCAGTAAGGATTGTAAAATCTCGTTGCGGATTAATAACCGTAGAAGTTTAGATTCCGATGCTCGCGTTGTTTTTATATATCGCCAATTTAAAAGTGACTTATCTATCGCTACTTCCGAATCGAGAGTGCAAGGATGCGAGTGTGAATAATTTGTGTGACGGAAAATATCACACGACATACGTT